GGCCTTGAACTCTGGGGATAAAACAATCCTCGAGCCTTTGTTTCCCAAGTAGACAGGACTAGAGAGAGGCTCATGCTCTCATGCCTGGTTTCTATCTACTTCGTCTCTCAGGCCTTACTTAGGATCTGTAGATCAAGGTTTCCAGGCAAATTCTGGAACTTGTATCTGAGGCATAATCCTCACCACCAACTCCTACTTGGAACAACAATCACATTTTAAATGCATTTGCCTGACCCATTCTAGACTAAGATGTCAAGGTCTAGCTCAGTCACTCTGCTTCAGAAGGTTGGCCAGGCTTCCGCTGGGTCACCATTCCTGGAGGCAGGATGGCTTGTGAGGCCATGGGCCATAGAGGATATGGGTGGGGTTGTTGCTGTCCAGGAAATGGCATTCAAAAGTGAACATTTCCCATAGCCTCTGCTACACAAGAAGCTGGAGTTGGCACACACCACAGGAGGCCTGAATACCCAGCACCCAGGCACTCAAGGCGGTAGGTGCCCTGCCCAACTACCCCACCTCAGGGCAGGGTAGATACTCTGTGTACCAAAGGTATAAGTAGATAGTTTCCTGTGATGGTCAGCCTCTCGTCCCTGCCCCAAGGGTCCTCAGTAGGAAGCAGAGGATATTAGGAACAGCTACCTTAACCACCATCTCCTATCGGAGTTGGACTGCAGTCACAGATCCCAAGTCCCTAGAACCTCAGGCCAGTTGTCCAATCGAGCTTACTATCATTTACACCCTCTTCCCCAAAGACGCTTGTTCTCCCTAAACTCTGCACCTTTTGGAAATCAAGCTACCCTTACAAGCATCCTGTTAGCCAGTGCTCAGTGACTGGCCTAAGCCCACAGTTCGAGCAGGCCTGGACAGGGCAGCAGGAGAGAGAGACCAGGGTCAAGTCACATGCCTGTCATTCAAGAGAAAGCAGAGCCCAGGCCCTTGGGGAAGGAGGACAGGAAGACCAAAGATGGAGTTTGCATGGAAGCTGTAACTTTCCCTAACTGGCTCAGTTATTTGAGACAGGCCCTTACACAGTGGCTCAGGCTGTGGTGACACTATGTAACTCAGGCTGGCCCCAAACCTCTGAAACCCTCAGTCTGGCAAGGCTCCCCCAGGCTTTCTTTGTTTCTTTTTTGTTGTTGTTGGTTTTTAAGAAAAAAAGTGTGCTAGGGGCCAAAAACAGGGTCTTGGATATGTAGTTATGTTGTGAAATTGAGTTATATCTCATTCATCAGTTTGTAGAGTCCCCGCCTAACATGCATGAAACCCTAGGTTCGAACCCCAGCACTGAGTAAAACGGATAGTGGTGGCAGACAGCTACATCAGCATTCACTCAGGAGGTGGAGGCAGGAGGACTCAAGGTCATCCTGGGCTACAGAGTTCAAGACCACTTAGGAAACACAAGACCCTTTCTCATAAAAACAAAAGCCAAACAAGTAAACCAGAAAGAAGAAGACGGGGTTTCACTGTGTGTCTAAGCTGGCCTGGAGCCCAGGCTCAAGGCACCCTTCTCCTTCAGCCTTCTGAGTGGGCAGTTAATGTGTGCAACTGGGTCTGACCAGAGCACCCCCTCACCCCAATCCCAATCTTCTGTGAGGTACTGATGTCAAGGAGGCTTGAGGTTTTGGGGGTGAGGATATCGGCAGGGTGTTTCAAAGTCCAGAAAACTCTTAGAAAGTGAAACCTCCCAAGGCAGAGCCGCCAACGCCCTCCTTCCTGCCCTTTTCGACTAAGGTACAACTGCCCCAGAAGAAGGCAGCACTAGTCAGTGGGACAGACACCTACTCATGGGTTGGAGTCTGGGGGCCCTGCCAGGGTTTCAATCCCATACTCACATTTAGCAGTGTAGCTGGCTGCTGCAGGCCTCAGAGTCAGGAATTTCCCTACCCACACTGGGGATGACTTCCCGTAGGCAGGGGCGGAGCTTGTATATTTAAAGGGCCCTGCAACTGTATCGTTTCCTCCTCCAGGCTGCAGTTGAAGACACTGCATAGAGTCCATACTCAGCAATTTCTGCCTCAGCACTGACTGGTGGGACTGGACTGAGAATGGAAGGGTCAGAGGACTGGGTTGGAGGGGGGTCGGGCAGACGATGGCTGGGCACCTCGGCCCTTTCAGGCTTCTGCCTCTGCCCAAGTGAGAGCACACGCCTGGGTTCAGTGGCAGTCTCTGCTGAGACTCATTCTGCATCTTTTATTAGGCTCAGCAAACCCAGCCCAGAGCTGCAAGCAGACATCTAACAGAACGCACACTTTCCTGCAAGGAACTGCACTGGGAGCTTGAAGCTTTTCTCTATGACAAGCAAGCTTCCCAGAGCCTGGGCTGGGAAGAGCTGGCCACGCCCAGCAGAAAAGTCTGCACCTGTAGGCCCTGGCAGCAACAGTCAGTACTTCCGCTGCCGGGGAAAGAGATTGCTCCCGGAAGATCGCAGTGGAGGGCTGGCAGGGCTTGGGCCCTCTGAGTCCAAGCTGAAGAGGTCTCTCCCAGTGCGAAGGATCTGTTCCTCTAGTTTCTTATGTCGCTTCATGTCCGAGAGGACCTTGTCCAGGCGGGCTTCTCGTTTCTGGCTCCGGGCTGAGCTTCCTAAGAAGGTAGGAAATGAGACAGGATTGAGGCAGTGAGCACCTCTGGCCCCTACACTTAGAGACCTTGTTGAAGAAGACATCCATTTTAGGCCTCAGCACAGAGGACCTAATGCTTCAGGCTGAGCCACACACAGGATGACTGACATAATGTGATGACTGGGGAACATACCTAGCAGGGAGACACACACACACACACACACACACAGACAGACACACCACACACACACAGACACACCACAGACACACCACACACACACACACGGAGACACACACACAGACACATGCACACGCACACACACAGGGGAGACACACACACACCACACACAGACACACCACATACACACACACACCACACACACACAGGGAGACACAAGACACACCACACACACATGCACACGCACCACACACAGACACACCACACACACCACACACACACACAGGGAGACACACAGACACACCACATACACATGCACACGCACCACACACACACACCACACACGCACCACACACACCACACACAGGGAGACACACACACACATGCACAAAGGTCCTGGACACTGCCGTGGAGATAGAGGACAGACGACTTAGATTCTCCCTGGTCATGCTCCCTGTAATGGAACCCTCTGGAGGACTACAAGCAGAGAAATGACGAGGACTACTCTGGTTGCCAAGACCAGAAGCAGGGAGGCCAGTCAGAGCTGTGGAAACTGCGGAGCAGGAGAGAGATGGCACTGAAGGTAGACCTGCAGACATGGAGCTAGTGGAACTTGCTGTTGGCTTGACCACCTTCCAGAGAGCTCCATGATTCTGAGGAAGGTCTCGGAAGGCATGTGGGCCGGGATAGCAGCTTAGTTCTGGGGATTACACAGCGCTACAGAATTGTGTCCTAGAGAATAATGACCAGCTGACTTTGGACTTCTGGGAATAAGATGACAACTGGCAAAAGAAGGTCTGTGGCTCTCTTAAAAGGGAAAGAAACGCGCTGACCTAAGCCAGAAACACCCTGCCCCTGTGTGTATGCTCCTTCCTGCAGCTGGTTTCACAGCCGCCGCCTCACAACTCTGGGATACACAGAAGCGGCCCCGGACCGCCCCTGAATTCTTCCCTCTGGCTCGTACCTGGCGTGCGTCTTCTGTCAATCAGTGAGTCCTTCGGGGTCATTGGCTCATCATCAAAGTCAAATTCTGTAGGCATGTGCGGCCTGAGACAGGGTGAACAGAGAATGAGGGGTGAGGGAGGCCCTCCCAAACACCTACGGGCTCGTCCCTCCCTCCAGTTTCTGTGCTCAGGAGAACGGTCCTAGGGGCAACGAGTAAAGTTACAGCCTCACTTTTCCTCCTCCTCCTCTTTGGCCTCTGGCTCCTCATCTGATCTCTCCTCCTCACTCTGGGCTTCAGGAGTAGGCGGCCGGCGGGGCAGGATCTCCGCTTGAAGCTCCAGAGTCCCCTGGGCAGCCAGCAGTTCATAGAGTCGCTGGATTTCGGAGGGTGGGGGCATCCAGGACTGCCCATTGGCCGGCAGCTCCACCTCCTCATCGCTGCAGGGCACGCACCAGTCTTCGCAATCGCCCTCGGCGCGCTCGTCGCCCGCGGCGTTGGGAGCTCCTAGTGCTTCCTCAGTCCTGGATCCCTCACGCCCGGCCTCCTCCCGACCTCCTTGCCCCTCTTCCTCGGCCTTACTAGCCGAGACAGAGGGACCTCCGGTGTCCTCCACCGCCAGAGCCTGGAGGCCGGAAGTCACTTCCCCTTCTTCAGACAGAGGCGCCGTTGTGCTGCCTGCAATGGTTCCATGGCCCAGGGACATAGAGTACTAGAGAAGCCCAGCAATACAGGAGACTCTGGAGTAGCAGACCAGGGTGCCTCCCCCAAAGGACTGAAATCCGCCGGGGCTAACGAAATCTCCAAGCAGTCAGTCTAGCACTGACCGCGGCCAGAGAACCGTCCCCAGGAAGGGGCGCTCAGATCCCGGCAAGGACAGATCCCACCCCACGGATCCAGAACCCTGCCGTTCCCGGGAACCCGCAGAAACCACGCTCGGAGCTGGAAAGGGAAGGGCCTGCTTTCTCGCTTTCACATCGCTTTCTCCAACACCTGGACGGGAGTCATTTCCTTAGACCTCGCAGACCTAGTCCGTCAACTCAGCGGCCGTACAACTGGAGCTAAAACCCGCCTCCCCGGCTGCGCAGGGTCGCAGCACGCAGGCGCAGAGAAATGGCGCGCGGAGACTCCACTGTAATCAGAGCTACTCGAAAGAGGAAAGAGAAGGCTGGCGCATGCGCGGATAGGCCTGTAGGCATCACTAGCTTTGGCCCACACTAAAGATGGCCACTGCGGCAGCGCATGCGTATTTCGTTCACTAGGGCCTGCCAGAAAGCAGTGCCTTGAGTCTGCAAACGAACACAGGGACCAACTGAGGCGATTCTCATGCATTCTCTGTTTATTGGTGTTTAAGACTCATGCAGCATTCAGCATACAAAAAGGGAGACTCAGTTTGGTTTTCTTTTTTATAGGAATTTTAGTTTCTCCCAACTTTTTCTTAAAGGAAAACACCCCCACCCCCACCCCAACTCCCTGCCTCCTCAGAGGGCTGTGGCGTGCAACAAACCTTCCTTATCCTCTTAGAGAATAATAACAGAGCTCCCCCACCCCCCCTCGCTCCCTGCAGCTGGGAACTTTGGTCCTTTTTTTTTTCTTTCTTTTTTTAATTCTACTGTTTACAAAGCAAGTGAATGGCCCAACCCCCCCAGACCTTCAAACAAAAAACTCTGAGGTTAAAAAGCCCAAATGGGCAGGTCAACTCAGGCTATGGCCACTGTGGCCCTCCTTCCTCCCCTGGATGTTCAGAATGAGGACTCCCATTCCTGTGCAAGCCCCCCAGGTGAGGCCTGGCTTGCCTACTTTGCAACCCAATAGGCACCTTAGGGATTGGGGTCAGGGTACCGTCTGGGCCCAGATGGTCCCCAGTAGAGAACAGTCAGAGCCCCTAGCTAGGCAGTCCCTCCCCACACTATCTTTCTCCCTCAGCCTGGCCTAATGTTGCAGGTTTTTTTGCAGACTAAATGGCGGCAGGAGGGTGAAGATACTGATGGGCAGATGAGAAGGCAGAAGGGGTCAGGGAATGTGGCAAGGGGAACGAGATGTTAAGGAAGGGAAAGAAGAATGAGTCAGATGCCAAGACAGTGGAAGTCAGGAGGCCGGGGTTCGTTAAGTCAGGGGCAGGAAGTGGGCTGGGGGAGATGCAGAGGTGCAGAGTACAACTTAGATGTTCAGGGAGGCTTCCAGAAGTGCAGAGAGGGTTTCAGAGTGCAGGGTTAGGGAGGCCAAGAGGCAGGAAGAGAGATCCGCAGGCAAAAGTGCAGGAGAGAGGAAGCCTGTGTCGGGCAGTGGAGCCTGGCAGGTGCAGGGGCAGGGAAGAAGCTGTAAACAAGGCTGCTCAGGCTCCCTTGGTCCCTAGGGAGGGGGCCAGGGCCATGGACTGGGTTTCCCCAGGGTAAGGATGGACCCAAGACAGCTCCCAACAGGAAGGAAAGCCTTGGAATGCAGGGCAGAGCCCCTCACTTATACACTGTGGAAGAGGAGAGGGAAAGACAAACAGGGAAGGAGACAGGAAGAGACAAAGAAATAGGGAGGACAGACAGGAGAGAGCAGGGTCAGGGGTTAGTAAACTGCCCTTGTCAACCTTCCACTCCTCCCTTTCCTGTCCCCGACCGACCCCCACTCACCGCCCAAGTTGATGACGCAGGAGGCGATGATGATGAGGACCCCCCCCACCAGCGCCACGATGCTTAAGAGCTTGGCTACTCGGCCCAGACGTTGGGCCCCATCCACGTCCCCCTGTTGCAGGCTGTTCCGGGACTGGGGTGAGGGTGAGGGGGTTGGAGGTATCATGGCCCAGGTCAACAGGAGCCAGCCCAGCAGGGATCAGGTGAGAGTCCAGAGGAAGGAGGTCAGCCCCATGGGGTTAAGAAAGGAAGGAGGATCCGGGATGCAGGAGGGAGAGGGCACAGGTCAGCAAAATTATATGAAACATCTTTCTTTTCCCCTCCCACTTGAAGGGGTGGGGCAGGAGTGGCTTGGAGGGTTAGGTCCAGCAACTGGGAGAGTGGGATCCATGCAGAAAGAGGAAAGGGAATGTGTCATTACTGGGGCTCTGTTCTGACACTAGCGGGACGCTGGGAACCACAGTATGCCTGGGCCAGGGTCCCTTGGAGCTCACCATGACGGCGTAAGCGAAGGCCACAATGTTGACAGGCCACATGGGGCAGAAGCAGGACAGGATGGCAAGGATGATGTAGTCCCGAGGTTTCTGGGAGCCGTCACCCCCTTCCACCCCAGGTCCTGCCAGCTGGGAGCTGGGGTGTCGGCTCAGGCTACCTCGAGGAGATCCTGGATGCCCACTATGAGCCCTTCCTATCTTGTCCTCCTCCACCAGCTTCTGCAGCACCCGGGGGGGAGCCCCATTGGCTGGTGGTGTTTTAGCTGAGGGTGATGAGTGAGGCTGGGGAGCTGGACCCTCTTCCCCATCCCCAGCCTGAAGGGGAAGCACTGCCCCATTTTCTTGCTTTTCCCCTATGCCTCCTGTCAGGACCTCAGTGCTAGGGTCCTCTTGGGTGGGGGCCTCTGGCTGAAGGGGTAGCTTGGGAGCAGCCTGGGAAGTTGCCTGAGGGTCTGAGTGGGAATTTAGGTGGAAAGCAGGCGCTGAGGTTGGCTCCGGAGGGGCTGCAGACCGCGGCTCAGATCCCTGCTCTGCCGTGGCTTCTTTGCTCACAACTGCTGTGGATGCTGGCTCTTGGCATGCCTCTTTGGGGCCAGGGCTGGCCTGGGATTCTCTGCCTGGCTTTAAGCTGAGGTCTGTGGCCTGGACTATCTCTGGGGCCTCAACTGGGGTCTCTGTGGTTTCTGGGGCCAACTCAGCCTTAGGTTCTGAGTCCACAGGGGCTGCAGTGATACCTGGACCTGGCTGAAGGGCCTCTGGCTGGTCTGGAATCTCTGCTACAACCTGGACAGGACTGAGGCCAGCTTCAGAATGGCCAGGTCCTTCTCTCTGAGTCTTGGAACTATCTTCTACCCCCTTCATCTCAGAGACCTCAGAACTGCTGCTGGCTGCCATCTTAGAGAAGGGAGATAGGAGAGGGCCCGCGGGGAAGAGGAAACAGCAGTGACAGTGGCAAATCCTGGAAGAGGAGGAGACAGTCTTGGTGAGAAGGCCAAGGCTAGCCTGTACTATCCCTAGGGAGACGAGAAAAAGTTGGAGTTTCCTTTGCTTTAAGGTGGGACACCTCTGGCGAAGTCTGCTTGGAGACCCCGGGAAAGATAAACCCTTTTCTAGACAGAGCCCTCTAGATCTGTCCCTGGATCCATCCAGCACACCCAACAAGACCAAGCCTCTCAGATCTCACCTCGGAGGTGCCCCAGCTCATCAGAATCTGTGTATACAACAGACACTCCAACAGGCAGACTGACAGAGAACCCACACATTCTGTTCCTCTTGTACCCTTCCTTCCTTTCTGGGCACCACCTGAGCAGTGCGGGTTTTCCTGCTGCGCATTTGGGATCAAATGCCCACCCCCAGCCTCCTCCCCGCCCCTCTCTGGAGAGACCTAGCATGTTGTGTGTCCTTTCTCAGCCCTTTTAGGGGTTCTCTTGCTGCCTCCAGAGAGGCTGAGGGGGAGGGGATGCTCTCCCGATGGCATGGCGCACCCAGCACCACCCTTCAGTTCGCCTGGCACTTGCATTCCCATGCCACCCAGCTGCCTGCCGTCCACTCCTACCAGCGGCCTCAGTTCGCTCCAGTCTCATCCGCTGCCAGCCTCGGGACTTGCTTCTGCGTCCCGCCGCCACTGCTGCAGCCGCAGCCGCAGCCAGGGAGGGAACAAGTCTGTGAGCAATGAAGGGAGGTGGCGGATCTCCCCTCCTCTCTCCTCCGGGTTTGCTCGGCCCTTCTTCTCTGGTCCCCTCCCCTAAGCTGCACTGCTGCCGCGCCGCCCCCGCCCCTAGCACGCCTCCTGCCCCTCCCGGACAGCCTAAGGGAACCTCGTGCCAGGCCCCGTGTTACCTGGGTAACCGGCCTGGGGACCACTCCTGCCCCCTCCTTGACCTTTCTCTCGCGCACCTCCAGGTGGGGCACCCCCTTCCTAAGCCCTCGGCCCCTCCCGCCAACGGTCACCGGGGGATCCTGGCACAGACCCGGGTTTGTGAGACCGACCAGTGAGGGCTGGGAGGAGGCATCCTGAGCAGCATAGATGGGTTAAGGAGACAGGTCTAAGTTTGTGGCGGCTGCAGGGGTACCGCGTGGGGTTTCAAATAAGGGAACCTGCAAAACTGAAGCCTCTCTACTCCAGGAAAACAGCAGCAATGCTTAAGGGAGGGTCTCTGGGTCTGAGCAAAACCCAGAAAAAATCCCAGCAAGCTTGGCAGTTGCGCAGGGCTACCCTGAGATAGCTAGGGCGAGCAGCCCATGACCCCCGCGGTGGAAACGAATAGTTTCCTCAACCTTTCTGCATCTGTGTCAGCCATGGCCTCAGAGATCTAAATGTGCAGGCATTTGGCAGGGTTCTGTGCAGTCTGCTGCTGGGTTATGGAAGGGAGATAGCACGAATAGCTGGCTAGCTTGAGCATCCCAAACCTCCCGGTATCCTCTAGAGACCTGGAATTTGCTCTCTCCACAGCCTCTGGATTCTTGAGCATACCCTAATCTGTGCTGTCGCTAGAGGCTGTACCTAAAGAGGGGAGTCACTCTGCAGGGCAAGAAAAGCTGGGACTAAGAGAGAGATGAAAGAGATAGAGAGACAGAGGACTTGGTGAAGATAACTTAAGAACCCAGAGACAAATTTTTATTTAAAATTTATTGTAATGGGGTCTGCGCAAAAGGAGGGAGGGGAAGGGAGGGAACATGCAAGGGACACAGGAACACGATGACATGGCCAGGGCCACAGCTTCTGTTGTGGGAAAGAGGAGAAAGGACCAGGGCTGGAGCTGGGGTGGAAGAGGGAAGGGGGAGACACCGTGGCTGCATTCCCCCACCCCCAGGAAGCACCTCTAGTCCCTGGCTCTCCTCCTTTACCCTGGCCCCTAAGATTCCATCTCTCTTGTTCTGCCTCTGGCCCTAGTGGCTCCCTCTGACACTCCCCTTGGCTTCTCCCTGGACAGATATCCAGTAGGATGCTTAGTGTTTAACCACCCTACCTACTGAAAGTATCCCTTTGCCTTCCCTGCTTCTGTCCCTCAATACCACCATATCCCTCCTCTGGGACAGAATCTTAGTCCCCCTCCTCTCTCTCCTCCCTCCCCCTGGGAAAAAAACAACAACAAAAAAAGAAAGCACCAACTCCCCAGGAAGGGGCAGCAGACAGTAGGAGAGGGGACCGAAGGAGGAGAGCACAGGACCTTCTAGGGAAAGGCTCACAAATCCCTGGGAGGAAAGGCAAGGGGTTAAAGGTTGAGGGCAGTGGCTGCTGCTGTCCTCTGCCACCCCTGCTCACTGTCCAGGGGACTTCAACACAACTCAGGGGACAGGTGTTTGGAGGGTCAGCTCTGATAGGGAGAAGAAAGGAGCAGGAGAAACATCGTTAAAACCTAGTGAATTCCTTCTTCCTCCTCCTTCTGGAGGCTCCTTGGTTGATGGCGAGCAGTGAGGAGTTGGTGGGAAGAGGAGACTGTACCAAAGAAGAGTTTTCCTCCACTCTTCCCCTCTCTCCCATCAACTTGGAGCTCACCAGGGCTGGGAGGGAAGTGGCTGAGAGCTCACTGGTACCCCCTCTGCCCCAGAGAGGGAGCCCACAGCTGTGGGGGGGGCTGCCACTGCTGCTGCTGCTGCCGCCGCCGCCGCTGCCGCCGCCATTGGACAAACCTCACCAGTACCTACAGTGAGAAACACCAAGGATCACAGCACAACCTGAATGGCAAGAAACACGCTCCATACCCCCTCGATTTTCCAACTATTTCCCTACTTCCCCTGGGACACAGCCGTTACTTCCTGTCTGGCCCCAGAGACTTTGGCCTGCCTGACTTACCCACACAGCAATTCTGTACTACGTTCTCTGGACCCCAAGTCTCCCTAAATTGAGTGACAAACTGGCATCCCTGGCCTTCCTGAGATCCCCTATTGGGCCCTTTGAACTCCCTTGTCCCACACATCCCATCCTGCCCCCCCAGCCATGTCCCACGCCTTGCCTGGTGGGTGCAGGGGTCCCCTCAGCAGGTAGGCTGTGGCTGGGGGGCATCTCCCGGGATAGGAGGGACGGCCCCCCCCAGATGGGTCTGCATGTGGCCGGCCAGCTGGGCAGGGGTCTTGCAGTGCACGCTGCACAGCTTGCACAGGATGCGGTCAGCCCGCGGGGCCTGGAGCCCATGGTCCTTCACCGCGTGGATGCGCAGGTATGCTGCTGTGGTGAAGCCTATGGGGGGGGTGGATTGGGATGGGGGTGGGGGTCAGCCTGGTGGAGACCCCAGAGACAGGGTTGTTCTCCTAGGCTGGGGACACCCTCCTCACATGGCACTGTCCTCCTCCCACATCCTTGGTAGGCTGGGGCCAACTACTCCACTGGGACATAGCCTTCCCTGAGCTTGGGGCCTGGTTTGCATGGTGCCTGTTTCTTAATCCTTCGTAATACCTACAGAGACCTTCCCTCATAACAGGGCGATCTCTCCCAAACGACAGGACACTGTTGCCTAGCTTTTTGAAGGGTTGACTCTCAGTAGAGACGGCTGTGTCCCCCCCCTCTCCAGTGCCCCAGTCTCAGCTCTATAGTGAATAACCACACTGAAAACAGCTTTCTGCTACTGGGCAGGGCGTGTGCGTGTACACCCGTGCTGATGTACTCGACTTGCCCCGGGAGCTGGAGACAAGAACTTGTGGCTGCAAAGTTGAAACCCTGGGGACTGGCTTTCTTGAGTCTTCCTCTCACAAAGCACCCACGTCCTACTTCATTCTCCCCAACTCTGGTAGACTGTCCCCTCTGAGCCATGGCACAGAATTTAGTGTTCAGTTACTTCCAATGCTCTTGTGCTTGCTTCTTAAAGGGCTCTCTACATGCCACGAGCTCTTGGCTACAGCACCCTTAACCCACACCCGTGAAACACCACCCACTCCCACTTTGTCCCTGCCCTCTGGCATCCCTTAGCATGTACCTTTGTTGCAGAGCTCACAGACATGGTGAGGGCCCTGGCTGTGCACCTTCATGTGGTCCGAAATATAAGCCGAGCTCAGCATCTTGCCACACACATGACATGGCACCTTCTCCTCGTGTCGTACTGTGTGCGCTCGGAGTCGATCCTTCGTAGCAAAAGCTGCCTCACATTTCTGGGGGGGAGGGCGTGGGGGTCACAGGAGAGTTAAAGCTTCGGGGAGTAGAGAGAAGGGGCAAGATAAAGGGATCAGAGCCTTGGGGGTCTTTGATCTGTAGGAAATGGGCGTGAGATGACCAGGCCTTGAAGGAGAAATGCGAAAATGGAGTGAAAAGGCAAAAAGAGAGAGAAAAAGGGGGTCTGAGAGGTTGAACTCAGACAGCTACAATGAGGATCACAATCATGAAAACCAGGACAGGAGGGCAGCGGGCTTCCTACCTCACATTTGAAGGGCCGCTCTGTTGAGTGCACTTGTCTGACGTGACTGTTGAGGTGATCCGGCCTAGGGATATGTTGAGGTGGGGGTGGTTAGGGCTAAGGCTCCAAGGTGAGGTGTGCCTCAAATCTGCCTACATTTCTCCAAAGTGCCTTTTCCCCTACTGCTTCCGTCCTTAGGCAGGAAATCGCTCAAACAGGATTCTATCTCTGCCCAGAGGCAGCTTTCCCTTCAGCCCAAAGACCCACCTCCTCTGAAGTACCACCCCCTGATCCCAGTAACCACGAGGCTCACTTCCCTCCTCCCTGGGAGTGGTTCCTGTCCCCAGCATCGGGAGCCGCCTCCCCACCAGCCAAAGACAGGCCACCTTGTTGCCCTCCCCCCACCACAGGCCTAGTGGGCAGCCGAGGCCCCTGCACACCGGGAGAAGCTCTTGCCACAGTGGGAGCAGTTGTAGGGCTTGTGCACAGCGCCGTCATGTGAGCGCACGTGGTAACTCATGCGGTCCTTGCGCTTGAAGCGCTGCTGGCACACAGGGCACTGGTAGGGCTTCTCGTCCGAGTGCGACAGCTTATGTCGGTTCAGGTGATAGACGTCGCGGAAGGCCTTGCCGCACATCTCGCAGGCGTGATTCTTCCGGATGCGTTTTCCAGAGGCGGTCGTGGTCACAACGCCACCGGGTGCAACCGCGGCTGTGCCTCCGCCAGCCCCGGCTTCTCCCCCTTCCCCGCTGGCCCCGCTCAGCTGGGGCACGCTCAAGAGGCTCAGGGGCACCATGGTGGGCATCTTCATAGCACCCGAAGGGACCCGGCCAGCCTTGGCTCCTGTGTGGATGGCTTCGTGCCTCCGGAGATTGTAGCCGTTCTTGAACTCCTTGGCGCACAGGGCGCAAATGTATGGCCCCTTGCTCTTTGTCTTCTTCTCCAAGACAGATGCAACAGGGGCCACAGCGACTGTAGAGGTTGGGGCGACGACAGCGGTGGCTGCCGCTGCGGCGATGGTGGCGGCCGCGGCGGGGGGCGCGGCTTCGGCGGCTGGCGCGGATACGGCAGGGGGTGGCGGAGGAGGCGCCGGAGGCTGCTTCAGGGCCGCTGTGTCCACTGTGGAGGCGGCAGCAGGGGCTGGGGGTGCAGTAACCACTGCAGCGGCCGCAGCTGCCGCGGCCGCAGCCGCCGCGGCCGATTCCTGCGCGGCGGCGAGAACCGGGAGCAAGTCCACTTGGAGGGGCTCGGCCGCCGGGGCCTGGGGCGTGGGTGGGGGCGCCGGTGCGGCCTGCAGAGACAAGGCGCCGTGTGGGCCGCGGTCGCTGGTCGGCGCCTGCCCGCCCGGCCCGGCCCCTACTCACCTGGAATGGACTCTGGGCGCAGCCCTGGGAGGCAAAGAAGCGGGACTGGAGCTCAGCCCCGACCTGCAGGGGGTTCTGGGCGTGACCCTGAGGTGGCGGGAAGGAGTTCATGAGGCCGCCCACCCCCCGGGAGTCCAGGCCCAGCACCGGGAAGGGGGGGGCCAGCAGCGTGCAAGGGAACACGGGGAACATGGCCTCGGCCACAGTGGGGCCCCCGGAGCTCAGCGGGAGCCGGGGGCACAGGCCGCGCGGGGCCCGGGCTCGGGGCGCCGCCCCCGGCCGGCCGGGTTGGGCCGAGCCGAATGCATGGCCCGAGGGCCGCCCCGCCGCCCGCGCACCCCGGCCGGCGGGAGGGAGGGAAGGAGGGCGTCTTGTGGGGCGCGGAGCGCGGCAGCGGCGGCGACGCCCCCTGGGTGGGGGCGAGAGGCCCCGCGGGGCCGAGGGCCGGGGCCGGGGGCGGGGGCCCGGGCGGCGGCGGCGGCGGCGGTGGCGGCAGTTGGAGCCTGGCGGGGCGGGGTGGGGGGAGCGAGGGAGCAGCTTCGGCCCCCGCCGCGCGCGCGCGCCCAGCCGGCGCCTCGGGGAGGGCGGGGGAGGGCGCGAGGGAGGGAGGGGGACAGCTGCGCGCGCACCGGGCGCGCGGAGGGGGGGTGGGACGGGAGGGAGGGCGGGCGGGAGGGGGTGTGGGAGGGGGGGCAGGGGCGGGGGTTGTTACCTGGAAGATGAAGCTGCTCCAGTTGCTGGGATCCATGGCGGAGGGAGGAGGGAGGTGGCTCGCGCTCACCCTGGGGCGGGAGGAGGCGGTGGTGGGGGAGGGGGGCCTGGGGAGGAGGCGCGCAGGGAGGGAGGGGGGAAGAGGGTGGGGGAGCGGAGCACACTGCGCGCCGGAGGGCGGGCGGGGGGCGCGAGGACACACAAGAGGCTGGAGCGGGCGCGAGCGCAAGTGCGCGCGGGGCCAGCGGGAGGGGGAGGCACGGGAGGGACTCTGGAGGGAGGAGGGACGGGGGAGCCACCCAGCAGCCCGAGTCGCCCCAAGCGCGAGACCCTCGAGACGGCTGCTGATTGGTTGGCGATGGTGCAGGTGGTGGGCGCGGGAGACTAGGCGGCTTCTCTTCCCCCACTTCAACGATTCCACCCCCCACTTCCCTTTGCCAGCAGCCGTTATTTCACGCGCACGCGCGCACAACACCGACGTCGTCCAGAACAGAATGGGGAGCGCGCCCAAGAGTTACGGTGGGGCGGGGCTAAACTAGAAGCGCGTGCCCGCCTAACGGTCGGTCGTTGTTCTTCAGCTTTCCGCTTCAGCTTTTTGATTCGTCTAGGCCACCGTCCCCTTCCCATTCCAATGGTTTATTTACAATCTCGGACTAGTTCGGGGTTTCCCAAAGATGGCGCCCAGATAAGTGTCCCGCAGAGCTTCATCCTGATCCCAAGGGCAATTGTGGCTCCCACCCTAGCCCCGCTATCCCTAAAAACCAGGCTCAAGCATGGAATAAAAACTGTATTTACACAAACACGGCATTATACAAGGATCTTAAAAGAAAAAGGTAGTGTTAAAAGCTGGTCGTCAGGAGGGACCAGATGGCTGGTCAGCAGCCAAGCTCAAGAGGTTTGCCTGTAAGGAAGAGAAAAGTGCGTCAGTGTAGCAGCTGGGGCAGGGTGGGGTGGCAGTGGGAGGGGCGGGGCGGGCCACAACGTGAAGGCTGCTAGAGGGCAGAGGCGTTCCTACCTTCAGGAAAGACTCCACCTGCTTTCCAGAGATGCCTTCTACCTGTTCCAAGTCCTCCACCTAGTGGGACAGCGGCAGTAGGGAGGATGTGGACAAAGAACCTGGGCACCCCTCCCCACCTGCCTTCCCCAGGTTGTTTACCTTGCTGAAGGGACCGTGGAGCTCCCTCCAGCCCATGATGAGTTGGGCCTTCTTCTGGCCAATGCGCTGCAGGCTGCGTAGATCCCGAGCGGAGCCTTCATTAAGCAGATCCAATAATTTTTTTGCGCCCATGTGCCAGTAACTCTGGGCTAATCTGTAGCTCCCAGCAGTCCTCAGTCTTCTCCATAGGCTCGGACAAATCAGAGGACTCCTGCTACGAGGTAACAAAATGATAGCAAAGGCTTATGGATGACTGTACCAAGACCAGGCGCCTAACCTTACCTTCTCCAGCCTCCCAGCTCTGCACTAATTTGTTGGATTTGTATAATTACTAGCATCTTTCTCAGCTGCCGTGAAGATACGATAAATAAATGAACATACACATCGTCTGACTAGGAGTTTATAGTTCAGCAGTAGAGCACTTAAGTACCTACCATGCTTGAGGATTGGGGTTCAATCTCCAACAGGAGGAAGAAAAAAGAACACAGTAAGCATCCCACCTCATCCTGACAGTTTGGGGCAGTTTTCCTAGTGTTCATTTTATGTGAGGACCTTCTGTGTGAGAGGTTCTTAAATACCCATCGTTTCCCTAAATGGCTCTACAGTTTATAAAGGCAAGAGCTAGGCTATACACTAGATTCAGTCAGTACCCAATCTTAAGTGCAAGAAGCATCACAAAGGAAATTGACAAATGGTGGATACCCACTTCATCAAATACACCTAACATTTCATCCAGGGTCTTTAAGGCATCACCTATGCAAGAGATTCCCTGCTGGAAAACCAGGATGGGGTCGGGCTCACCTTTCTTTTGTGGCCTCTCTTCAGGATATGGATCTTTGAGTCTGTCTGATTCTGAACTGAAGGCAGGAATTAGGAACTGGTTAGGGCACAGGCAACCTCCTTCCTGCTCTCCTACCTCCCTCGTAACCATTTGCTCCTATTTCTCCAACCTGAGCTTTTGTTGTTTCCAAGTGATTTTTTTTTTTTTGAGACAGGGTCTCACTCTATAACCAAGGCTAACCTGGAATTTAGCGCAATCCTCCTGCCTCCCCCTCCTGCGTGTTGGAGTTACAGGCAGGTGCCACCATATTCAGCCAATACCCTGCATGATAAGCATCCAGGGCTTGTTCAGATCCGGTGGGAAGGTACGAGTGACAGAAGGGTAGTCGCGCTTTACACGTCTTCATTTCTGACATAGCTGGGTCTCCCTAGACTGGAACCACACTTACTCAGTTGCAGGGGCATCACCACAGCCTTTTTCAGGGGCTTTGCCACTGTGCCTGGACCAGAGGAAAGGGGCTGGAGACGCGTGTTCTCTTTCTCCTTCGGGTCCAGTGCCTCTTGGGCTAGCACCTTGGCCTCCAGTTCTTTTTGCTTCATCTTGAGCCTCTGTTGGAAAGGATCATGGGAAGAAGTGACTCCACTCCAGCCCCAAAGCAGTGGATTAGGAAGGTAAGG